GCTTTGCATATACGCCAAACCTTCCGAAAATGATTCGCACCCCACCCAGTGTTTTGTGTGGGCTTGCTGAAGCCGTACCGGGATCCGGCGCAAGTGAACGCGAAAGCGTTGGCGCCGGGGCGGCGCCCACAGGCGGCCTACCATCCAGAAGCCGATTCAGCAACAAATTTTGAGCACGGTGTCCAACGACGCCGGGCGCTCCACCGTCACAAGAAGTGATTGATTCGTTTGCTCAACGCCTAGGATCCACTCTGACAGAGCGCGATAATCCTCAACTCGAGGCAGTCAGTGCACAAAGTGCTCAAGACTATTGAGGGCTTCTGCACTGCGGGAGGCGATCTCGGAGAGATGCTCGGCAGAATGCCGATGACGACGGACTTTGTCCTTAAAAGCTCGAGAAGCATCGCGATTCATGAGACGGCGATCGGCCAAGTCGTCATCGTCCGCCACTGACTCTTCTCGATGAGGATGGTGTCGTCCACTATCACGTGGAACGCTATGTGGGTCGACGTCGTCGTCGGGTTTTAACCCAATATCTTGTGAAGTGGCGGGGATATCCAAACTCCGAGAACTCGTGGGAGTTTGAAGTGTAACTTCGGCAAGACTGCCCAGACGTCGTGGACGCTTATGATCAGAAGGATCATGACGATTCTCGTCGTCGTTCGCCCCGCGCTTCTCGGCAATCGCCAGGAAACCCAAGGGCCATGAGCTGAGCTCAAGCTATGGACCTGAGCTGCTGTGGTCATAGAATCAACCGTGTGAGAAACCACAGAGCTCGCGGGAGCGTAATGGATGATTACATGTGTCGTACGCAGAAAGACGGCGTCGCGCATTGAGTTAGGCAAGCTCAAATCGGCGATGGTGCTCAACGCGAACATCTACTTCCTTGTGGCTTCGCTGTCAGGTAGACAGCGAGGAAAGTTTCCAATGCCGCTGCACCCACCGCTCTTCACCGGTTTCGCCAGGGGCGATCAGTCCGCATTGCGGGTACAGGAGCGCCTCCTATTTGAGCTCGAAGTCGAGCGCGATACCTATCCATTAAGGTTTCTTGCGGAACCAAGAAGCGAGCTCGGAAAGCTTTCCGCTGGTCAAGCTCAGCTTGTGTAGTGGCCAGGGGCCCGACTACGTAGACGCCCAACGATTGAGTGATCGTGTCCTTCGCTTCTGTGGCGGGATCCGCCGAGCGGAAGCCGCATTCCACACTCGGGCTAAGACCGAACGTGGATACGAGCGCATGAGAGCTGCCCTGTGGGCAGCCTTATAATTGCTGCTCCTGTGCTCTGTGGAGGCGATTGGTAACAATACTACTTCCTCCAGGAGGTCGAGAGTTCTGGGAACGGACACGGCGTCCGCAAAGTTCGAGCAGGGCCCACATCGCGCCGCTGGGGCACCTCTCCCTCTTCTTTTTTCATCTTGGGAGAGAAGTATCGACTCGTAGTCGACTTCCTCCAAATCCTCGACGAGGAAATTCGTCACCCGGGGCAGGCGCGGTGTGTGGGGCTCGGTCGACGAGGGCTTGGAATGTGCTTTTCGTGAAGCCGTGGACGTACTGTCTGGAGATACACCCCGTGCAGAAAAAGAAGGGCTTTGCCCGCGGGTGCTCTTGGAATCAGGGTCTTTCGTTTTGTAGACATAGAGCTCATTGAGCAGAGAATGCGTGAAGAATGTAGTGGTGTCTTAGACACGCGTGCCTCGTACAAGGCGACACTTAAATGCGAATTGTGGGTATCCGTAATTTTGATGGGGTGGTGTAATGAGGTTACACGTAACCTTGTATGAAAGAACGGGTCACAAAAGATGTTGTGACCGTACATACACAAGCTGGTGAATTCACACAATGGAGTGGCTACACCGTACCAAGAAGCCACTACATGGCAGGACTGCCAGTAGTAATGCATATTAATTAGGTTTTACTATACTAATTAGATATTACTACATTAATCAGATAAGTCTAATGCAGCGGGGCTGCCGTAGCTATGCGCTTAGAGGAAGCGTAATTTGGGTCACCAACCTTTTGTTCTATACAAGAACAAGTACGAGTTTGCAGATCGCAATCCGCTTACTCCAAGAGTAATATCGCCTCAACCCAAGGCTAATTACTCTTCCGTTTAAAATATAAAAATGATTTTTATTTATTTTTATCTGCGGCAAAGCTGCCTAATTTTAAATGTATAGATTCTCCTAAATATATAGTAAAGTCTAAATACATGCATAACTACTGGCTATCCAGCCCCGTACCGTATTCTTGATTGGGTGTAGTCACACCATGCCCATCTGGTGTGACAACCCCCCTGTTACCATGGTATGTGTAACTCAGTTACACTCTCCCCTTTAGGATTGAGAACATTTACAGTTCGCAATCGATTATTGCCTCAACGAGGCTCGCGTGTCCGCTAGACACTGCGACACTGCAACTTGATTCGTTGAAACAAAACGACTTCCGTTCTCAATGAGCCCTGTGTCAACGACACTGATGTCACCAAGTCTCGCTGGATCTGATAGCGAGCACGGGCAGAGCCCAACTTTCGTCTCCCGCACGCGGTGCAATGTCGGCAATGCGTCCGCGGCACCGGGGGATGTACATCCTGGGCTCGATGAGCACGAGCGTCGCGCTTTGCGCACGCTATCTATGACGAGTGACCTCGTTGAGGATGTGGAGGTGGTCGACTACGAGTCTGTCACTCCTTTTACCGGATGGGATGACAAGGAAGTTGAGCTGCGCCAGCGGCGCGATACGAGCCCTGCTCACGCCTTGCCGACCCCATGTCCGTTTCCTGGCTTCTCGTCTCCTGAGGGACGTGGCGTAATCAACAATGACCGCGACGGAACACAGAGGCGCTCTGAAGCGCGCCCATCCACGGCCGTTCATTGACCCTCGTGTGGAATATGGCTTCCGCCCAGCGGATCCGAATGTGGAAGCGAAGGACGCGGTAACTCGATCGTTACGCGTCCACATCATCGGAACCCCGGCCATTAGGGAAGCTGGGCTTGCCGAACGGAAGACTCTTCGAGCTCGTTTCTTGGTCTCATAAGTTTTTCCGTTGGACGCTTATCGCACTCGTCTGAGTGCTCAACGAGGTGCTCCTCGTATACCTGCAATGCAAACAAAACCTGTAGTGTTTGCCCCTGGCGAACGCGCTACAGATGACGAAGCGCTCTTTGAGCGATGGATGCAACGGCACCAGAAGCTTTCCTCACTGTATAACCTATAGTTGAGCAACAAGGAAGTGGACGTGCGTGGGAACGACACCTCCGATTTGAGTTTGCCAAACTCATGGCGCGCGCTGTCGACTTCCTTCGGATTGTTGCCCTGCAACGTATGGGTCAACCCCTAACGCTCCCTTGAGCTCTATGCCTGCGACCGCAAGAGCTCAGGATCACTGATTGAGCTCAGCTTATGGCCCTTCTACTTCCCTGGCTATTGCCGGGAAGCGCGGGGCGTCTGATGACGCGGA